GCAAGAAGGCTGAGGAATTGAAACATATTCTTCGGTGCCCTTTCTTAAATATTGGGACCACTACCCCAATCTGCCAAGCCAAAGGTGTCATGTTTGCGGGCGTCTCGGGCACCGGAACGAGGCATGGTCCACAAAAAGGGTGGATGACCCACTGGCGGCTCCAGGAACAGAAGGGGTTTATTAAAGAAAACTACAAACACAAAACCAAAAACACCACGAGGGATCAAAAACTAAAAAGGGATTAATTAACAAAAACTAAATAACAAAGACTAGGAAGGTAAACAGAATACAGATCTAACCAAGCTTAGACAAGTAGCAGCAGCAACACATCATACACACAACTACAAGCACCTTACACAGTCAACAACAATGAACCACTGGGGAACTGAACAGAGGCAGGAACTAAAATACTAAGGGGTAACGAGACTAACACAGGACAGGTGAGACTAATTAACAAAACCAGAGAAACAGGGCACAGGTGAAACTAATAACTCAAAGGAACTAAAAACAGGGAAACTAAGAACTAACCAAGGAAACAGAAACCAACACTAGGGAATTACAGAACAGGTAAAGACACAAGCAGGGGCACAAGGAACAAAACCAAATACAACATCACCAGATACAGGAACTAGAAAAACTCAAATGAAACACTAGGGAGCAAAGTACAAAGACAGAGAAGGTGGGACTTGAACACAGGACAGAAGGGTACTCAGGACAGAAGGGTACACAGACAACCCCATGCTCAACACATTGAGCCACATGACCAGACAGGTAACAGGGGAGAACAAAGACTAACATAAAGAACAGGATGACCAGCGACACCTGCTGGTCAAACGGGGAAGGGACAGAGTGGGACAACAGGGGCTGACCCTGACAAAAGGCACTGTTCCCAACCTCCACACAGTGTTGAAGAGGCGTGTCAGACAAGACAGCCCAACAACATCAAGAGCTTTCCGGAACTCAAGGTGAATCTCGTCCCGAAGTCTTACCACCACAGCATTTTTTGACTACTTCAGTGACCTCAGACCTAGAGATGGGAAAGTCCTCCTCTGAGTGTTCCAGCTGTATGACCTCCAGGAAAAGCATATTATTGGGATTCAGGAGGTCATCAAAACAGTCCTACCACCACCTAACTATATCCCCATTTGAAGTCAACATTTCTCCATCTCTGCTGTAAACAGCATAGGTAAAGCCCTGGAGTTTAAACAGGTGACTCCTGAACTTCTGGCCCAAAAAGACATAAATGATGGGATTCAAGCAGATGTAGGAGTAGGCTACAGCCTCCGTCACCTTCAGGCTCAAGTGCAGTGCCGGCGTCAAGGGGGGGCATTCGAAGGCATTGCCCCCCCTAGCGAGTCGCCACGCCCCCCCTACACACGCTCCAGCACCCACCACCACAGGCTCCGAAATATTCATTTTTATATCTAATTATTTTTCAGATATTAAATGTGTAAACATTCACGAAATTAATACAGAGCGGTTTCAAATATTTTTTGTCATATTATAAATTCACCTGAAAGAATTTAGGCTAGTTGGTGCTGATTGGTTGTTGCTTTGGTGCAGCATTTGACTTTCGCGCGGAAAATATGATAAAAATACAATTTTCAACCACCAGCGGTCACATTAGGGTAGCGATTAATTCAACTGAGCAGTCTCTTTTCATAAGGGTGTGTAATTCAAGAGAACGATTCATTCAACGGTAAGCTGCTCCTGCGTTCAATCTGAACAAAACATTGCGCTACGTTTGCGTTTTATGCATCACATTTTATGCTTGTTTACTTGATCTTAGGGTTTGCATGACAGTGTAGGGGGCTGTTATGATGACTGACCGCTTGTCTGGGTCTTTTCTTGTTGTTAATGGCAGCTAACGTTAACATCGCTGGGAATCCCGTGACCCACCGGAGTCACGAAAAATTGTCAACCTCTAGTGTCGCTCATATGAATATAGTTCACGATCGATAGTGCCCCCCCATAGTCAGTTAGATGCCAGCCCGGTAGATCCGGTCTGACGCCGGCCCTGCTCAAGTGAATTGCTAATATGCATGTAATACTTTTGTGAATGAATGATAAAATGGCTATTTTTGTAACATCCAGTACAAAGTTCTAAGGAGGTGGCGAGAGTGGCTCAGTGGTGAAGAGCAACAACCTCTCTCTAAATGTAGACAAAACCAAAGAAATGATCGTCGATTTCAGGAGATCCAGCACTGTTCACCCACCTCTCACCGTCGACGGCGCTGTTGTTGAGAGGGTGAAGTGTCCACTTCACTGAGGACCTCTCCTGGTCCCTCAACTCCTCCTCCATAGCCAGGGGGGCTCGACAGCATCTGCACTTCTTGCGGAGGCTGAAGAGAGTGAGCCCCCCCCCACCTGATCCTCATCACATTCTACACCGGCACCATCAAAACCCGCTCCGGAGCTGCATCACTGTCTGGTACGGGAACCGTAACATCTCGTACCATAACACGCTTCAGCAGATAGTGAGAGCAGCTGAGAAGATCATCAGTGTGCCCTTACCCCCCCTAAAAGACATCTTCCAGACCTGCTGCTACAACAGAGCCATAAACATTGTAAAGGATCCTTCCCACACGCTACACAGACTCTATTCTCTCTTACCGTATGGAAAACGGTATCGAAGCTTCCGCTCCGCCTCTACCAGGCCGTGCAACAGCTTCATACCACAAGCCATCAGAACTCTGAACACACACTAATATCTGCACTGTCTCTCTTTAACTACCTCTAAACTGCATATACATACTACCTCTAAACTGCATATACAAAAACAACCTCTAAATTGCAACTGCACTTTACTTACTGTCCACTGTTACTGCCGCATTATGCATCCATTTCAGCATTGTTAATTTTACAACTATAAATTTCAACTTTGTGTCACTGTGAATTTAGTGCTACAACTGACCTGTGCAATATAATAATGTGCAATACCAGCCATTATGGTTCATGTCCCTCCACTACAAATTGGAACTGTGTGCTGTCTATTTATCATCCTGTCTATTATTTGTTTGTATTGTATTGTTTTTTGATTCTGTTACTGCACTTTGTAGTGTCTTATGTTGGGGTAAATCTTGCCAACTGCCTTGTGCAACTGCACAAATCATACGAAGTTTACATCTCTGCACTATTATCTCTGCTCTATTTATCTACTGCCTGTTTGCACCATGCACGCCCTGTTACTATGATGTTAAGTGTACTGTATGTTACTATATGTTGCACCGGGGTCATGGAGAAACATTGTTTCTTCACTATTTGTACATGTATGAAGCTGCTGATGACTAAAGTAACCTTGAACCTTGAAGTGAGTCAAAACCACTCTGACTGAAACTTGCATGAAACCTTAGAAAGACTCACTTTTTTTTCTCCTTTTTATCAAGGTGTGAAGTATTTCTTATCATAAAGCTAAAGGACCTCCATTAATTCAAATAGTATGGGACCATGTAAAGAGAGAAAAAATGAGTGATGTCATGATTATTGAAACATATTTTATTGATTTGGCTTCCATTGTATTGCACTTTGGTCCACACAGAGGACTAAATCTGATAAAGCAACACTAGCTAATGCAAAGAAAGACGTAAGGAATTAACGGAATGGGCCATGGATGGATGGACGGTATGGATGGATGCATGAGTCCCTTCTTGAAATGACAGATAGTGAGATACAGCTTNACCCACTTTCACACACGGACGTGCCATCATCACCCACCTTCACACACGGACGTGCCATCATCACCCACCTTCTCACACGGACGTGCCCTCATCACCCACTTTCACACACGGACGTGCCATCATCACCCACCTTCACACACGGACGTGCCATCATCACCCACTTTCACACACGGACGTGCCATCATCACCCACCTTCACACATGGACCGGGGAGCCCGTTTCAGTCCTGGCAGGAGACCAACACGTAAGTCCCGAGAAATGCCGGGTGATGCGCGCTCTATCCCACGGTTGAGCTCTGGTCAGTACTGAGTTTTCCCCCTTTCTTATACTAAATTGGGCGCTGCATGCGAGCAGAGGACGAGCTGGCCAGGTTCACCCCTCCCATCAGGCAATGCGCTCTTAATTTTCCAATTTTGTCCGGGTAATGCTGATTGCGGTTTCAATCAAGGATAACAAGACAAGTGTCCTTGAGGAACGCTTTCCCTTATTCCCGAAGACGAGATAAATGTCCCGGAAACCGATCAGAGCAAGGTTTTTTTTTAGGACGTTACAAGATAAGAATCTTGACTCCTTTCATGAGAAACAAGTTATATAAGTGATTAATGAAAGACATGTTTGTGCAGTTCGACCTTGGCACAATAATATTATGGGTGAATCATGAACGACGTATTCGAATCTCAGGACGATTAGTCCAAACACTCAATCATCTCATATGTATGACAGTAACAGGAGGGCAATGATTAATTCTAGGGGACGTAATCATCTGCAAGTTCATCCTAATACACTTACGATCCAGAGCTGTAACAGGCTATTGAATCTGCAACTTTGCCCCCCCCCCCGGGACATATATAGCTGCTCATCTAGAACTGTGTCCAGGCATTTTGGTGTTTCCCCTATGTAACAGCATGATTAGTATGATTTATATGGATGCATTGAAATGCTTATGAGCTTATTTGCTTTGAATAAAGAGCGGTACTTAATATACATAATACTTCACGGGCAATTAACTTTAAACAAAATAAATCTCGACGAAAAGTCATCCTGCGTCCTTAGCCACAACGGCAGAGGTGTCATGCTGAAATTCATCTCAAGAGTCTTTCCTGACACATCTGCTGCACCTGTTGATTCGACCAAACACCAATCAAAAATACTTATACTATCCATTCATCCCTCATTTATCTACCTCGTATTCAGGGATGGGTTGCGGGTGCAGCAGCCTAAGCAGGGATGCCCAGACCTCCCTCTCACCAGCCACCTCCTCCAGCTCCTCCGGGGGAATACCAAGGTGTTCCCAGGCCAGCCGAGAGAGATAATCTCTCCAGCATGTCCTGGGTCTGCCCCAGGGTCTCCTCCTGGTTGGACATGTCTGAAACATCTCCCCAGGGAGGCATCCTAGATAGACGCCTAAACCACCTCAACTGGCTTCTTTTGATAGGGAGGAGTAGTGGCACTACGTCAAGCTGCTCCCAAATGTCCGAGCTCCTCACCCTGTCTCGAAGGCCAAGTCCAGAAACTCTGCAAAGGAAATTCATTTCTGACACTTGTATCCATGATCTCATTCTTTCGGTTACTACCCAAAGCTTGTGATCATATATGAGGGTAGGAATGTAGATCGCCCAAAACAAAAAGCTGTATAAATAGTTCTCTCTTTACCATGACAGAAAGGTGCAACATCCGCAATGACCCATTGAACCCTTTCCATTTTTGAGCGTTTTTCTATCCCTTTGATTATAGACTTATTACATGGTTTATACATGAGTTACCCACATGTGCTTTATGGTTTTGTTTTCAGGACATTCTGGGCTACACAGATATGTCATAATTTGATGTGTAAATGCTGACACAGTCTTGATATCATCCTTCTTATGAGGAAAAACTACTTGCACCTGCTGAAATTTCTCAATTTTCAGTCTCATCAATTAAAAATTTGCAGGCACTACAAATATGATCTTACAAATGTTGATATTAGAGTTTCTATGATGTGGGAATGCAGGGGTTTCATTGGGAACCTTTCTATGGCTTAGTATTGTGAAGTATTACATGCTTAGTGCCAGGCGGAAATGAATATATTTGCTTTTACATTCATTCTGTAAGTTGTTGAGATGATCTGATAGACTGCAATGCATGCTTGTTTATATGTATATATAGCAACAGCAACAACATTGAATTCTTTTAAACATAAGTGACATTCATAGTTGTACTGGACCGTTCAGTCTTGCTTGTCTGGGATAGCTGTGGTGTGACTGTGGAAATCATAAACTTTTCATACATGCATGGCATCCTGTTCAGGAGTTTAAACAGGTGCCTCCTGAACTTCTGGCCCACAAAGACATAAACGATGGGATTCAAGCAGGTGTGGGAGTAGGCTAGAGCCTCCGTCACCTGCAGGCTCAACCGAATGACTCTGCTGGATTCACATGGTATGTAGATAGAGACCAGTTCTAGTGCCTGCAAGAATGATGCAACATTGTAGGGGGTCCAACAGCAGAAGAACACCATGACCACCAGTAGCACGAGGCGTATGGTCTTCTTCTTTGTTGACTTGAGGTGAAGTATTCTCCTCAGGATCATCGAGTAGCAAAACACCATGATGAAAAATGGAATCAGAAGGCTGGTCACATTCCTT